TTTTTTTTAAAATTTAAAAAAAAAAAAAAAAAAAAAAAAAAACAACAACAACTAATGAACTATAAATTACGGAGCCAATCGTTTAACACACACCTTGCATAACATAATCAGGAAAATTTCCTTCTTCAAAGTACTGTATTGGATTAGGTACTTTATCTCCTTTTAAAGTAATTTTATGAATTTCTCTGAAGTTATTCACTTCACGTGGATGCCGATTAGAAACGTCAGGATGAGGTATATAAAAGTCCTTTTTAAACGGTCTCAATGTTTCATGATCCCAGTTAGGTTTTCTAAGATTGTTACCAGCATTATTGCTATTTTGTGGTCGTTGACCCATACGAGGTCCTACACGATTAGTCCCAATGCCGCTGCTACCAACTCCACCACGACTTCCATTGCTGAAACGGGAACCACTGCTACCACTACTAGCACCGCCGAAACTACGCTGTCCACCTCCTATCGAACCACGATTCTGACCAGCTCCGCTATTACGATAGCCACTGGTAGATGAATTTGCGTAAGTCCTGCACATACATACAATATATCATTAATTCAATTTAAAAAATCCTTTAATATTAATTTAGTTAAAATTTAAAAAATAAATACTTATTGTTTTATTATTTAATAAACAATGACATTATTCTAAAAATTTATATCGTATTTAATTTTATTATTTGGGTTCAAATTTTTTTTTTCTTTGTTAAATTGTAAAAATTATAGTATAATTTCACAAAGTAATAATTGAAGGTAAAAAGTCTTTTGAATGCTTTAATAAATTTGTCGTGAAAGTAGAGAATTAATAATCCAGACATTGGAAAGTGTGGACATCAAAGGCACTGTTCACGTTTTTCTCCCTCTTACAAGCATTCATGCTCCATTGAGATACAAAATGGAGTCATGCCAAAATAAGAGGTATCTTAAAATTTCATTAACTTTATAACAAACGCACTCTTTATGGTTTAAATATTGGCAATAAATGTTTGAAAAATAAAAAAAAAAATAATTCATAACACAATTAAATGGTTAAATATTAAAAACGTACAATACTATTCTATTTAACAGTGGCACGCACATTCTGCAATTTCTAAAAATGGCCGTCATTGTCCTTACTTCTAAATTTAGTACGGATGGAGTAAAATCTCTTTGAATAAAAAAATCAATCATCTATAATATTAAAAATTAATATACTTACATATTATAATGATAACAGATTTCGGTCCTTTTGAAAGATATTACGAATGGTAGCTCAAATTATATTGAATTGTCTACAACAGCAAAGCTCTCTGTAATAAAAATTGATCGAACGAGTTCAGTTGAGAAACAAGTGCCTCGTGTGAAAATAAGGAATATAACCACGATTTTGAAGAAAAAAAAAGTAGAAATTCTGAATATTTTGTAGGAATATGAAGATAAAACTTAAAAGAATTTAACGTAAAGGAGATAAAATAATACTCACCCGTGCCACAATTTGGGACGGAAAGAACAGGAAGAGAAGCCTTCGTATTCGAGGTCGACCTCGATGAGAGGAGTGAGGGTAAATACTGAGCGAGTCAAGCGAGGTTGTTTCCACCAATCAGAACAATTCTACCTCCGTCACGTGATGGGGAAACAGTTATGCGTGACGTTTATTAGCCCCTTTTACGCTGTGTTTAGCTGGTTAATATAGCCCAGCAACAGATAGAATTTACGTTGAATTTTAAAATACACGTTTATCCAATATCAATAATACGTTTTATTCATTATTTTTTCTTATAAATTTTCTATTTCCAGTACCTTAGTCAAATTATTTAGAAACAAGCGTCAAAAGGGTGGGATAACAATGGGATACTAGATTCATCCGTCTAATGATTTTACCTTTCTCCTATCATATGCTCGCTCTATTTTCCTCTCGCTCTCTCTCTCTCTCTCTCTCTCTCTCTCTCTCTCTCTTTCAGTGGCTCCGTCACTCACTCGCTCCCTCCCACTCTTCGAATCTCTAGCCTTTACCAGAAGAGGAAGACGGCTTAACCAAGTAACCAAAGTCCTTTCGACACGTATTAATGCTTTCATCGCTTTTCAATTATAACGATTATAGTACATAAAATATAAAAAAGTTTTTATTTTAATTTATTACAGCATTTCATTCTTTATTCCATCTAATTATTTATATTTTTCTTTTTAAATGTACAAGCTCTTTCATTTAACTATTTGACTACGTTTGTATCCGACGTCATTTCCGTCATTGCGAAATAGATATGTTGCTATGTAGGTTGGTTGGGTGATCGATCCATAGTCCACGACTTCATGCCAGAAAATTCGTAATAATGGAGTTCATGGTCCATGAGACGTAGTATTTTACATTTGAAAAAAAGTGTAGAATTTAAAAATTACCATATATAGGCTAATCAACATTAGATGATATGAATTGAAATATATGTTACTAATAAAACAAGACAAACGATGATTGTCAATTAATTTCTTTATACTTTATATATTGTTGACGATTAAGACTTATCGACTAACAAATGAATTAAAATTAAATAGTAATTATTTGAATATTGATTGAATATTAATAAATCAACAAATTATAAGAATTTGACTTTCTCTCTCTCTCTCTCTCTCTCTCTCTCTCTCTCTCTCTCTTTTAAGAAAGTTAATTATTCGGTTCACATTTATCGATGATCACCATTTTCATGTATATTTAATAAACTGTAGAATTTGAAGGTATGTAATGCATTTACGCAATAACAATAATTTTTTATTATAGGGACGTATCGTAGTATTAAAAAAAATTGAGTAAAATTATGTTTATTATAAAATTATTCCTTTGTTTTTTAATTTTTAGTTTTATGGAATAATCCAACTTTCTATTTTATAAGATGTACAATACATATGACAAAATGAATATATTTTTTTATATAAAAATCAAATTAATGAGTATGTACAGTTATGAATTCGCAATTAATATGAGAAATACTTTTAATTTATAAATATTAATTTAGACAGTTTTTAATTCCGTACCTATTTATTATAAAGCTTTTAAACTTAAATTAATTAATTAGAATTACTTACTTGTATTAGCATCAATTAAATATCATTAACAATGAATTTCATTATTAATTAACATGAAGTATGTAGTATGAAATTGAATCGAAATGAAATTTATAATAAAATTTTGTAAGCAATTCATATACAATTGTATTATTCTCGGAAGATATTGACTAATCAAATGTAATTTTTTTTAATTATAATTCATGATTATAAAAAAAATAAAACAAAATAAGACAAATATATAAATACAATATTCAATTCTATTTCAATAATATATATAATTATTATCATCTATAAAACGAATTTCAAGTAATTCTGCTTAAATCCCAATATTCGAAGAAAATCGAAGTTCATTCTTTATAGGGAATGGTAATTATTAATAATAAGCCACATTTATGGATAAGTAATGTTACAATTTATTGTACGATTTCAAATTTTAATCTTTAAAAAGTGGTAATTAATATACAATCAAATATAAATGCTAAAAATTCGGAGCAATTTCTTATTTATAAAAAATGAATATCATTGAGAAATATTTAATATATATATAATTATATCTATTTATATATTTGTATACAAATTATATTAATGTATTTCTTTTAGGCAAAAATCTATTAATTAAAGTTTTATATTGAAAATTATATTTTTTGTTAATAAGTTGTTCATATATTATTTCTTTTAAATCAAATTAAAATTATGTTATTTGTATATTTAGTCGTTTTCTATTTTTTTTTTCTTTTTTTTTATTGACACTCAATTATTTCCGATCGAAGAGGTTTTAATTATAATTTGCTAATTATAAATTGCTTAAATTATAAATAATAAATTGCTTAGTCTTAAAATCAAAATTTGTCCCACTTAAATCGTTAGGAGTCACTATATTTTCCTTTAAAACGTATTTTACATTGTAACTATACTTATATATATATATATATATATACAATACTAAAACAAATCAATAAAAATATTAAATACTACTTACAGAGTTGATTAAAATATATTAAAAATGTTTTTATTTAAAAAAATATATATATATATATATATATATATATATAGATATACTTAATTTAAAATTCGTATCCGCCTGTAATCGAAAGCCAATCGCCAAGTTGAGCAATTTTTTTTTTTTTTTTGCTAACCTTCATTTTATAAATTTCTTATAGCGTTATTAAAAAAATTACTACAAATGAATAATTCAAATAGATACTTTGGTATAAAAACTAATTGACATATTGGACTATAATTATATGATGGTAAAATAAAAGATGACGCTTAAAAATAATATCTCCTAAAATTGATTTCCTTATTGAGTTTATGTTTTTCAATTACCATAGGCTAATTAAGATCCATATTCGTTTACTAAATGTGCCAAAAAGTAATTTTTTATATATCATGTTTATTTAAATTTGGGTATCAGTTTGTTTTATATGTGAGTGAAAAAATAATTCATAAGATTATTTGAAATTTTTATAAGTCATAATTTATATATGTAAATCGGCAAAGAGAATTGGTTACGAATTAAATATCATCTGTTTTTAAAATCCGCGTTATGAGCTCATCTATTGTTTTTATTTTTGTAAATAATTTTATTTCTTCGAGTATCATATCATTAGTTATCATATCAATTTCATTTTGGCTTAATTATTTATGCATGAAATTATGATTATACATACCGTTGTTAGAGTATAATCATACAAAATTTTTATACATGTGTATTTTATAAGGCTTAAATAAAATGAAAATATACATTAGATTATTGTTGTAATTATAGTAATGAAGAATAGTGTTCATCAATATATAAGTATTGATCGATACATAAGTTTTCAGTAAATGTAAAGTAGTTTAGGTTTTAAAATTAAAAATTGCAAAATATAATGTATTAAAAAGTTTAATGTTTTTAAAATGATTGTCATTATGTGCATTTTTAAATATATATATATATATATATATTATTTAAAATAAAAACATTTTTAATATATTTTAATCAACTCTGTAAGTAGTATTTAATATTTTTATTGATTTGTTTTATGTTTACAATTTATAAATTATAATTGTATTAATCAAATACTATACTCAAACTTGATAAAATATATTTTTTACAAGTCCCTAATAATGATAGCTACATTGAGAATTATTTGATTTAAATGATATATTTTATAATTAAATTGAGTACAATAATACAAACTTATTATAAAAATGTGTATCTTAATGATATTATTTTTTTAAATCTTTGTCCTTTTCTTTTTCTTTCTCCTTATTTTGCTGTAATGAGCCAACTGCCTGACGAACGGCTTCAGATTGAGGATCTACTCCAGGGAGATTTTCAAGCACAGATTGTAAAAATTCCGTATCAGACATTACGGTTGCATAGTCTTCTTCCACTTCCATTGGCTCTTCCTTTTGAGTTCCTTCGAGTTCTTCTATGATTTAAATGTTAAAATTTTAATAATCACACAATTTATATTGCAGCTTTTATTCACTACATTCAATACTTTTGAAAATATTTAAAACTTTTGATAATACTTAGTCATACATTGGTATAAAGTATCTCTAATACTAATTATGCTCAATTACGTATATCAAAAGTACTTTAAATGTTGTAAAAATTTTAATAATTGAAAATAATTGTCTTACGTTGGTCTTGCATAGACATTTGCATTGCAAAAGCTATTTGTTCCTCCTCTGTCATATGAGCAAAGTCAGGAACGTTTCTAGTAGCAGGTGCTGTATTTTCATTTGATGTCGAAGATTCTTCGTTCGTTTCAAGAGACATGGCAAGAGCACGTTTTAACATTGCCTCTTCGTTAGGAACTTCTTTTATCGATTCAGGTTCTTTAGTTGGTATTAGTACTTCAGGACCTTGAGTTCTTCTTGCTTCGTCCTCTTGACGTTGTCTTTGCTCTTCCATAGAAACACGTAATGCCTGAAATATTCAAATGTAAATAAAAATATTTCAGTTGTTTTATTAAATTGTTATTTGATATTTATCATACTTTCTATTTTCACGCATGTTTTTAACAATAATAAACAAATTTAAATATCTGCATCGTAATGCAACAAAGAATTATAAAGAGAATTGACAAGGATATAATATCGAATCTTTTAATAATCTATTTGTACGTCGATATGGACTTACCAAAGCTAATTCAGGATCTTCATTAGGATCGACACCAAATTCAAATGCCGCACCACTCATACCGGCTCCACCCATTCCATCTTCACCTTGGATAATGGGTGAAGAAATTAATGCATCTGATAAATGTGGTCCTGGAGGAACTGTTACGAGATGACTGCTCGTTCCGTCTTTTCCATTTAGGGCATTTACAAATGCTGTTAACACCTCGTTATTTACACTTTCTTCTCCAAAGCTTATTATATCTACATTAACCTTCTCTTTTTTCAAACGTTTTGCAAGTTTAACAGCTTCTTTTTCATCAATTTGAATGGGGCTACCGACAAATGCAACAATTCTCATTTTATGATTTTTCCCTTGACGGTGCTTTAAGGCTAGCTTAACACATTGAAATAAAAAATATTATATAATTATCAAGCTGATCAATAATCATATATAAAAAAAATATTAATCTTACATGTGCTATTCGGATTCCTGTAATAAGGGATAAATTTCCATTTGGTTGAACTTGATGTAATTTTGATAAAATACGGCCGACGTCACTAGTCAATGTAGCCAATACTTCGACACTGCAAATATAAATATATATAATGATTTGTTACATGGGCACAATGATAATAATACATTTAACTGGTATAGACATAAAACAATTTCATAATTACTTTGCAAGAGTGATAAGTCCAACGTTATTTTCAGGATTCGAACGAGTTTTGGAATGACATACTAAATTAACAGCATCTTGCTGTGCTTGCAATCGAGTAGGCAAGAAGTCTCCGTTTCTCATATAATCGCTATTATCAACGCTGAAAAAATAAGTATTCAATGAATAGCATTACAACAAATATCATTGTAAACTTTGTATAGCAAAGTTAAATAGAACAATAACATCAATGCAATTAATTTGCAAAATCACAAAAAATGAGCCAACGTCTTTGCAAAAAAATTATTAATCATATATTTATTAACCTTTTCAGCATTTTTCTTAAAAATATACTTCAACAAACGCAACTATACTAACGGCACGTAAAAACTAAATAAAATAATAGGCATTTAAGAAGTTTCATTCGACTTTGCTGTGTCACTGCATAAACATGCCAAAACATCAAATAATTGTTTCTGATTGTTAAGATAGTCTTATTACTATTAGTACGTAAAAAATTCAACCAGCAATCTTTTATATTATTTGAACAATGCATTAAGACCTCACTCACCATTATGATTAGATAAATAAAAATATTAACCTACCATATCATAGTACTTTCGAGCACCATTTTGGACGAAGTCTGATGTTTTAATCTCGTTATATGTAGTTGTGAGCATAAACTATAGTACTATAGATGTGAATATGTTCAATTTGAGATTTTGCAGCAGTGAATTTGAGCTCGGCAGATTGAATACGTTTGTATTAAAAATAAAAATAAATGTACAGATTTTGTCGGCGTTCAATTCGAAATATCAAGTTGAAAATCAAGGCGGAATGTTCTCAAACGTTAAATCTTACTGAAAGACAAATTTTTAATTGTAAGACTAAAAGTATGTTTTAAGTAAATCAAATGACTCTCTGTATTATTAGATAAATAAAGGCAAGATATATCTGTTTAAATTATATGGCCATTAAGTCTACTGAAATTATTATTATTATATGTTATTGAGAGGTGTTAGGAAAGCTTTTTTTTTTTTTTTTTTTTTTTTTTTTTTTTCTATTTATCCGATAATCAATGTAATAATATCACTGTACGGAGTGTTAAATTTCAAGCGTTAAATATCTAAATATTAAAATTCATTACGGTGAGTGTTTTCAAACGATAACATAAATGAATTATTGATATTTAATTTCCAAAAAGTTTCTCAATGTCCGTGGAATTTAAAATGCCTATCTTTTGGTTTAGTTAAATAGAATACTGTGAAAATTACACTTTTTCGTATGATTTATTTTAATTTTCCTCAAATAGCGTATGATTATTAATCTTTCAATATTTTACATTTATATTTTTATGCGTCCTTTTCATTGTTGAGTTCTTTGAATACTTCTCAATACGAACGTTTGGTGTTATTTTTCAATATTATCTTTTTAAAATGTTTGTCTAATCTATTGTATGATTATTCGTCTATTTTATTATTGTTATTATTATTATTTTTTTTTTACTGAATTAAAGCCTTACTGTTATTCTTACCATATTAGATTTGAAAGTTGGATGACACAAATCCTTTTTTTTTTCTTTTCTTTTTTTTTTTTTAATCAAAAAATGTGCGGAAGAAAAAGAATTGAAACGATGATAAACAAATTTGAAGTTATTAGTGGTAGAAAAATGTTTAATTATTTACTTATATCAGTGTTTTACGGTGAAAAAAAAAGAAAAGTAGTTTGATCTTGAAACATATTTAAACTGATTAAAATATTTAAATATTTAAGTATAATATTATCTTCATACTGTTTTTTTCTTCTTCATTTTTTCCAACCGAACGCACGCTGTAAAGAGCGACTAATTAGAGTGAAGAAATGGATATTTTTATACTTTATACATATTGTGGCCGGGCTGAAAGGAAGTGCAGTTCATTATATGGATATCGGGCTCTTTCAGACGCTTCCGCACTGAAGATTAAATCGTATTGGTCTTGTCAGGTATGCAGATAGTGTATTTTTGTGTTACGTAGGCAATGGAATTCTGAATTTATCGTCATCTTCCGAATGCGCGCAATGTCAATGCGAATAGACATTCATAAAGTATTTGTTCGGTTATATATAGCAAAGAACTAAAGTAATTTCTTTCATTTAAAGAATATAAAATTCTCATGTTCATTTGTTGATTTCAAGGAAATTGAACGAAAGCCACATAATTTGAGTTTATATTTTTTTACTAGTTTTGAGCATCTATTTGCTTGAGTATTTTATTTAAGTTATTAATGCAACTGGAGAGCATTGTTTCTAGGGAAATTACGTCGTTCTGTTATATTTTTTACCTTTTAGGCATCATATAGAATCAATAATATAATCTCGTGTTGTGTGTCGTGTATTTAAATAGGCAAATTTTCATGCAGAGCATATTATTGAGGCGCATGCGCCAAGTGAATAAACTATTTAGGATAGTTACAATTTTTAGTGCGCAGACGTCAATAATTGAAAGGAACATCGTTTTCCTCAGTTTACAATTAATCGAATTACATTCTAGTCAAACGTTTTTGAGAATTTATTTAATTTGTATTTATTATTATTATTGTTATTATCATAATGATAATCGAAGCGAGTAATATATTGAAAATATTATTCTTTCTTAGATAACATATCATGAAATCTTTATTTCAAGTTGTCTTTTGTATAGTCGGCTTACGTTACGTTATATTTGATGAAAATATTCCATGATTTGATAAGGTTAGTCCAATCAATATAATACTTTGGTATTGGATACAAAAATGATTATAGATTTTTCATTTAGAATTTTATATGTTATTATTATTGTTATTTATTTCCTTGCATTATGACTGTAGAAAATAGAAGAAATGTTTCGCACACTTTGCAAATGAGCTTTAACACTTTTTTATGCATTGTGCCCATATTGTCCATATCTTTCTGTTGTTGAGTGAAAAAAAAACACTTCATTTATTATATCATATATATATGATAAATAATTCAAACAGAAACATCTAACTGTAAAACCTAATAATCATTTACATAACAATGAACATACCCATTGCTTAATGAAACATTTATTGTCAATTTTAGACAGTTCTTTTGAGTAAAATTCAAAATGTTAAATTGTCAAGAAAAAGAAATCATAGCTGTAGGAAAAGTTTTGAATAATACATGTAGACCATTGAAGGAAAGATTTCGTGCTTTATTTACATTAAAAAATATTGGAGGATCATTAGCAATACAAGAAATTGAAAAAGGTTTTGCGGATCCTTCAGCATTATTGAAACATGAACTTGCATATTGTCTTGGGCAAATGCAAGATTCGCGTGCCATACCAATACTTGTAGATGTTTTAAAAGACAAAAGTCAGGAACCAATTGTTCGTCATGAAGCTGGTTAGTATTAATTTTATTCCAAGGATTATTATAAAACGAATCAAGTGTTTAATTTCTAATTGAAATATTTAATCGTGAAACACAAAAGAATGCATATTAAAATATTTTTTTTTTAAATATTTTCTTAGGCATACTAGTCCTTGCAATAAAATATCCGTTATCGTATTTTAATACTTTTCTATTTTAAACTAATATTTTCTCATTCATTCAAATGTTTCATTAATAATTTAAATTTGAATTTGATAGGAGAGGCATTGGGTGCTATTGGTAATAATTGTGTAATACCCATTTTAAACGAGTATAGTAAAGAATCGATTGTAGAAGTTGCAGAAACATGCGAACTTGCTTTGAATAGGTTAAGGTGGCTTAATGATACGAAAATAAAAGACGAGGATTTGTTAGAAAATCCTTTTGCATCTGTTGATCCTGCACCACCTGCTCAATTAAAAGATATACAAATGTTAACAGATGTTCTTTTAAATGAGAATATACCTCTGTTTGATCGATATAGAGCAATGTTTTCATTAAGAAATTTACAAACAAAAGAAAGTGTTCATGCTCTTGCTAAAGGTTAGAAAAGAGACTAAATTACTCATGACATCATCAATTTTTACTATCTCATTTCAATTTAACATTATAGATTCGTACAAATATCGAATTTATATAAATTTAAATAGAAATTTGAGTTATGCATAAATATACGCAATACAATTAAAATGGTATATTATTTTTGTAGGATTAAATGCAGGTAGTACATTATTCCGTCATGAAATTGCATTTATACTAGGTCAATTACAAGAAGAAGAAAGTGTACCTTACTTGCAAGCTTCTCTTGAAAACGTAAATGAAAATGAAATGGTACGACATGAATGCGCTGAGGCTTTAGGCGCTATAGCTTCGCCTCTGTGCTTTAACATTCTAAAGAAATATTTGGACGACGATAAACGTGTAGTTCGCGAAAGTTGTGTAATAGCATTGGATATGTGCGAATATGAAAATAGTTTAGAATTCCAATATGCCAATAGCCTATTAAAAATTAACGCATAATATTTTAAGCATGTCCTTTGTAATTATATATTATGTAAAATAAAGATTTATGATAAACAGTGAAATTAAATTATATTTATATAAAATTTTGTATAATATATATTTTGATATTCAATTTTTTGAAAATATTAAAATATTAAAATATAATTTAATTGGTGTGCTTGTAATAGTTACATTATTATACAATTTTTATATTACAAAATCTATATTAAATATCATTTTAGGTAAATAAATTCTCTTACCTAAATTTTGTCATAACAGCTTGTAATAAATTATATACACATAGTAATCAATCATCTATATTACTTAATCGAACCATTTTAAATATATTCCCATTTACTTTTTATACTGTGAATATATTGTTTCCATAAGTAACTGTTATCCATGAAGTGGAATATAATTCACATATGCTATTTTTCGCTATAGATTAGATATTATTATTAGATTAGATAGATTTGCATGTATACCCTTTTCTAAGTGTTATTAAATAAAGATAACAATTTCATTTTAAAATACTATATAATTCTTATATGATCATTGTAAATAAATGGCTTCAGTTAGTTCAAATATCAATGGATTCAGTTCAGTTAGTTGATATAAGAATAAAAATCGGTTGATATTTTTAGTAGTTTTATCTAGATTCTTATTTCAGGAACAAATTATAGTTTAATGATAACACGAAGCAATGGTTAAACATAAAGTGAATCCAAATATTTTATTTACAAATAAATATTTAATCTATTTATAACTAATTGCATTTTCTTTGTAAATAAAAAATGATGTACATTGAGTTATACAAATTCTTTACTATAATTACTTCCGACCATTATAATATACATAACAAAGTATAGTTTTATTCGAGAAAATATAAAAATTCTTATACCGTCTTTAAATATTATGTATTATATATAAATAATTAGTAGTTGTTTTTTTATTTTTAAAATTTTTTAAATTGTTAATTGTTATATTTGGTTTTTCGAGTTTTTAGTATAGTTAAGAATATCACTATATATGAATTGTTTATAACACTTTCTTTTATCACGTCTCATTATTTAGTGGATTCTTTATAAGTTCATAGGTAATCAGTAATAAATATATTGGGAGTAATTTTTTTTTTTTTTTATTTAAGTGCAATTATAAGCTGCATATGTATAATCTAAAAATGAATAATATTTCATCATATAATTTGTCAAATTTTAATTAGGGAATTATGTTAATTTAAATGGTTTCTATGTTCACTTAAATTCGCTTAAAAATATTTAAAATCTTGAAAATGAATACATAAAGTAAATTAATTATTATTATTATACAGATAATGCACGTTTGAAAAAATATTTTTAAAAATATTAAGTAAAAATAACATTTACACATTTTTGACATTGCTTCTACAATTATAAAAAAAAATGATAGTTTATAACAATTTTTCGTAAATAATATGACTCTTAAACGTATTGTGATAGTTATTTTTATAATTTGATATTAACTGATAAAATATATAATAATAATAATAATATTAACTGATAAAATATATAATAATAATAATAATAATAATAATAACAATAATAATTTACTATGATCAAGCAATGATTTTTACACGTGTAAAATATAACGCCAATTACTCTAAATCAATTTAATTTCTCGTTTGGATTTCTCTGATTGGAACCAACATTCTAACACTCCAACACCAGCTATTGGACTCATTGAATTAACATTTCATTAGAACTAATTATAAAAATTACTATTTAATATCATTTGATAAAAATTTATTTACTGATTGCTTTTAAAATTTGAAAATAATATATATTCCAATATTTTAATAAAACAAATTGATTACTTTTTTCCCCTTATATTTATTCACAGTTTATATTTATAGTATTATTTTATTTGTAATAGTAAAATTTATGTATTGCGTTATTTAACGTAATGTACAATACAACTCCTTGCTTAAATATTTACAATCAAAATGAAATAATGAAAATCAAAGCGGATGTTTATAGTCTCTTACATTACATCGCTTTTCTCTCCTTGCCATCATTAATATTGTTTTATAAAATTTTTCCGCTGCTGATGCTTCTCCTCTTTTGAAAATTTTATATTAATTTAATAAGTATTATAAAATATATTTTTTATGTTCTTTGTTTACTTTAGCTTGTTTTTACAAATTTAAATCAATTATACAAAATTTTGTAATTTCATAAAACTTCTGTAAGTCTTATGCCCCTATTTTAATTATGTATTAAATTAACAATTTATATTATTATAATTTTTACAACTATTGATTAATATTAAAATATTGAAAAGTGAAAGTAAATAAGTTCACCTTAGAGTATAAATTAAAAATGTTCAAAAAATTTATATTGCCTTTATTAAATTATTACGAAAAACACGAGCAGCTAACAGCAAACTGTTAATAAGCATATAATTATTATTTTCAGTTATTTTCAGAAACTGGTTTGTACGGCGTCCCACTAGACTCAATTTTGATTACTGCTGAATCTCATCATCCCCTCCAATCTCTCCAAGATCTAAATCTCTTCACCATACTTATTTTAATGTAAAAGTCTTTTTATATGTCGAAAAATATTATTTTTCATTTACAATTCATAGAAATTATATAACTTCTAAGCATCTATTTATATCTTTTTCCTCTATTCGCGTATTATTAAAAAACTTTTATTAATTGAATTATTAATCCTATCCACGACAGCAAGATATTACATAATTGAAAAACGATTATATCAATAGTGTAGAGATCAACAAATGTATAGATAATAATATAATAATATATTTAATATTCTTATCAATTAAAGCAAGTAATTCAATGCAATTATTATAATTTGTTTTTGAATATTAAAATAATACTTTCGTTCTAAAAATATTTATATATGTTTAAATCAGATTTCTTAATTCATAGCTAAATAAATAGAAATTGACAATGAAGTAAGAAATAAAAGATTTCTTTGTTTTTTCGTTATTTAACATTTTGAATATTTATCGATTATTAAATTATTATTTAGCAAGGATAAATATTATCGTAAACTGGTATATTTGATTATACCGCTGTTAGATATTTTGTTAAGAATTTTTATATTTTTTATATTTTTTATATTTATATCCTTTTTTATTTATTTATTTATTTATTTTTTGTACAGACAAACGCAATACAGCGTCTTTTTTTTATCGTATTTTTAAGAATTGAAATACAAATTTTAATATTATATATTATATATTTCAATCCATTTGATTAAAATATATAATTAAGTTCTTATTGAAATCAGTGAATCTATCAAACATTTATTTAAAAGAAAATTTAGTATGCTATTACTCTCAATATAATAGAATGTTTTGTATATAAAAATAGATAGAACGTGTTGATATTTATAAAAATAATGGTTTTGGTATTTAATGTTAGAGACAATTATATTTTGTAATTACTAGCTATGCAAAATGTGCCTGTACTTTTTTTTATCGCAGCTACGTTACTTTTATTGAATATATTTTGAGACTATAACTCTTTTTTTTTTTAATTTTATAATAATTATTTATTTGTCACCATTGTCGATATTATGCTATTATAGATATTACGACACTGTGTAATAATTTTGATAATTTTCTCCTTAACTAAAGGTATATAAATATGTCGTTTATACATTTCGGTATTATAAATCCTATTCAATTGAATTTAGAAATGTTTAAATATTTTTTTCGTTAATTTTATTAAATATATATATTCTAAATAGCTTGTAATGTGATTTAGAAATTATTAAAATGTTTTACTTAATTAAGAAAATTTTTAAGTGAAATTTATTCTGTATGCAAGAAGATTTTTTCAAGACTGCTTGATTTTCAAAATTATAGTTATAATTACATATTTTTAAAAGCTATTAGACGATATATTTTTCTTGAAGTTTAGAAACCGAGTAATGTAATAATTAAATGAAGAAGAAAAAAAAACAAAATTAAAATTTTTAATTATCATTTACATACTTTTCCAGATTTATATGTAAGGAAACTTTGTTCGGGATAGAGTGCGGAAAATTTTATCCGCTACTTTCACCCGACATTAAAATCACTTAGTCCATTACGTTTGGATTTTATATAAATAATGCAAGAAATTGTACAATTGATTAATTATAAGTATTAATGAATGTATGAACGATGATTTTTTTATGGGAGTAAGACAATTATATTACGTCTTATAAAGTGATTAAATGTGTCGTGTAATGTAATACATGTTATCACAGAAATAGTTTCCAAACTCGTAATCCTGCAATTACCATAATTTAATGCAGTCGTCGATGTCTTTGCTGGTATAGCTTTCTTCGAAGATACTTTATTGAAATTGCTAGAAATTCATGAGATTCGCCTTTAGATGTTGCAATTGCCCATTGTAAATGAAGCATAAGCTCTTACTTTGTAAATTGTCTCTTGTTCGCTTAATTTAAAAATAGCATCTTTACTTTGCATTCGCAGCAAATATCAGCGCTTAGAATTATAAGTGAGCTGTAAAAACAAATTCCTTGGATCAAGAAATTCATCGAGAATTACTAAGGGATCAGTCGACATTGCGCTGAAATCGCAGGATTATCGCCTTCAAAAGTACATCTCGCTTAAAATAGTTAGTTAGATGCACACGGAGCTAAACTTTTTAATCGATTTAAAAAATCTTCGATCAATAATGCCAATATCTCACACACGTATAAGCGATAGATCGTTTATTTGCGACTCCCCACTTGATACGTTGTCAGCGGCAATAAATATTCTTTCCAAACCGCATGTTTTTGACTCGTAGGCGTAAGTTATTATTATACGGCAGATTCTCAATGTCCGCTTTAACACGAGAAATTCACCCCTTCACGCACTCCACTATCCTAACAATTATTTAATAATTCTATCATTAATAATCATTAATATGGCGAAATCGTCGGTATGTTCAAGCGTTTGACCAGGCCTCTGACGACATTGACTCAAGCCCGAGCTCGTGCGCTACGAGAAACAGAGGAACTCTTTCTCTCTCTCTCTCTCTCTCTCTCTCTCTCTCTCTCTCTCTCTCTCTCTCCCTTTCTCTATTTTTATCGGCGTCCCTTTCCACAGAGTCCGCATGCGTCTCCATTCACGGGCCAGAGCTTGCCATTAGATCGGGAGTGCAAGCCAGTAGAGGCCGATTAGCCGGCTGCGGCACGTCGTTTGGATCTCGAAGGTCGTCGTTTGGATCTCATCGCGGGTCGTCGCCGCGACGCCGGAGATACGAGGTAGGCGCCGTACCACGTGGCTCGGCGCATGTCTTTCTTCTTGTCTCTTTCGTCCATAACGCGGGTGTCGAGGCTCGCCAACTATTTTCGTACGCCATGGCTTTTGGACTTAGGTTGGCTGGCTCCAGGCGTCGCGAGATACTCTGGTGCGCGCCCGTTTTCCAGTGCGCGACTTCCCGGCCTCGCTTCTGCCTCGGGCCACTTTTCTTCATAAATCATGAAGCTTGCCTGGAAATCATGCTTGTGCTCTTGCGACGAAAGCCAAAGTTTATTACGATCGGCAGTTTTAAGGGGGATAGCATAGCGGTGACTTCTCGTTTGCTAGGGCGCGCAAGATATTTCGATCTCTTGGTCGATCGAATTGAATCGTATATTTCAAAGCCATGCGCAACACTTAATGTGAATGCGACTGTTTAAAGTGCAACATAATTGTAATATACGAGGGAATTATTTTTATAATTCTATGTTATTAGAATAGAAATCGTGAAAAGGCGCGAATGAAAAAACGGCTGATTTTATTGGCATTTGCCGCAAAACGTTTATTGTCTAAAAATAGTAACCTATAGCAATTTAACGAGATAATCGAGCCTTCTCATTCCCTGGACCAGTTATATTAAAAGTGCGGCGTGTACTTATAATTCAATACACGTTGTTACATTTTTTGTTTTACCCAGCACTTGTGCATATGCATATAGATGATTAAACATTTATCAAATATTCAGTAAAATCATTAAATATGATTATTGAAAAACGTACAAAAAACAAAATTTCATAGCTTCATTCATGTAACACACAACATTTAAAGTTCTTCAATGCACAGACATGCATTATCTCTAAAACATCATTTTACATATTATTTTTTTTTTTATATATATATATATATTTTTTTTTTATAAGAGATTCATAAGAAACGTCGAATCAATTCATTCTTACGATAGAGTAAGAATCAAGTTCGTTTTGACAAATTTTTAGTTAACAAAGTGCCTACTAAGCGTGCTAACTTTGTATCCTTGAATTAACGAAACAAATTATGATTGAATTTCGTAAAGCATCCGTATATTAAGAAATCCGAATCAATCGTGTTTTTCATTATTAATAGTTCCAAGTTACAATATTGAGGTATCAGCAAATTTATATTTTTTATTATTTAGAACTATAATTTAGTTTAGTTTAATTTAGTCAATTTATTTTTTAATATATGTTCGATACTTTGTTCTGTTACTCGAAGTAGCAAAACATTGTTTCTTTTTTCAGTAATTTTTTATTTAAATCATACATCTATATCTACATTATGCCAGGTAATAAAAGTATTTACTCATTGCAAATTTTTATTATAAATTGTACAAATTTATAGTTTTATAGTTTATATATTGTTTAAATATAGTTTTATCAGTACTAGACTTTCAATATTCTTTCAAATTGTTGTAAATTGGCAAATTAAATGTGTAATCTGAAACAAACGTAAATTCATAATATTAAAACGATTTAATTGTTTTATTTTATACAATAATATTAAATTCTCTTTATAAAGCATAAATATTATTTACTCCTCCTAATATTGTTTTCAAGTTTTCGTACAAAAATATTTAATTTGAGTTATCAAATCATTGACTAAATTGATTTATTGAATTTTAAAAATTATGATAAATGTAGGTATATATAGTTTATTCAGTTATTATTTATCATGTATTATCGGTGACGTGCTATTATCAAATTAATAATATAAATAGCTGTTGTATGCTTAAATTGAGCTAAACTAAACGTTTCAAATTGTAAACAATGTAAGCCGGCCAGTTATAGATTTTTCAAAATTTTATACATAAAGAATTAATTTTTAACAGTGCATTCACTTTTTTTCATACATAACTTTTCTCAATCGTTAATTTGCGAACATGATCTATTCTTTAAACAGTATCACTTCATTATTATATTACCAAATATCTTAATTAGAGCGAGTGAATGATTACGCGCATATATCAGATTTTTATATTTGTATTTTGTATATACGTGCGCTGAATAAATTAAAAAGATGCAACTCAAATTAGTCTATAAAAATTCAAATCAAATGCTATAAAAATATAATTATATCGCTAAAGGAATTTGATAGCTTAACAATATATAGCTTAACAACTAAAATACTATTTATTTATTTAAACACTGTATTTTATTCATATGTTATTGTATGTGATTTATTATGTAACTGACAGTTTAAAACTCTTAAGTTCTCGTTATTCAGTCAAGTTTTAGCTTTTAATAAGAGTGACTTTGAACATTTTTATGTTCTTGTTATTATTTTGTTTTATTGACATTGATATTATTTACATTTTTATATAAAGGAAAGCAATAAGCATTTTTAATTTATTTCTTCTCCTAAGTTGATGCCTAGTGTATATTTCAAATAAAATCACAATAATTGAAAGTATAAATAACTTAATTAAAAATTTATATTAACACTAATGCATCTTTATATAAAATTATTATTATAATCTTGTTTCGGAAAAATTTCGATTAAGAGGTTAAGTATCTTAAGTCTTTAGTCCCTCATTAATTAATGAATTGGACTTTGATTAGTGTTTTATTATCTTTTAATGTTTTTAATGTTAATGTATGTAGCAATATTATAAGTTACAGTGTAATATTTATACATTTCTGACTTAGAAAAATTTTAATTAATTCATAGGATTCATTGTTCATTGTTAGACTTATCTTTTTAAGAAACATTCGAAGATAAAATCAACAAAGAGAGTATTGGGGCGTCTTATCGCTGTGCCATAATCAGGTCAAAATTCTAATATTACATGTTTAAGCTCAAATTTTATATTCACAAAATAATAATAGAAAAAAATTTATTTTCTCCTAGGAAATCCGAATTTGTAGTCATAAGGTTATTTTACATTAAATGCATGACGAAGTTTTAATAAATATTTTTATTTATAAATTGATGATATATTTAAACATTCGTTTAATGAAATGTCTATGTAAAGTAACGAGTACGACTAATTAAATATACTTAAATGTTTTTTTATAAATATAGACATACGTAAATGACGATCATTCATAAAAGCATATTTATTTATTCAATTATCTTTATAATAGGATTGTCGAAATTATAAAATAATACTAAGAGCAAATGTTTATTTTTTTTTATTTATTTATTTTTTTTCGTTCTGTTTACATGTGAAAGTTAGAGTAATATATTTACAGGATTTTTTACAATAATAAATTCAAATTCTTAATATCAAGCAAATTGTTTTCTTTATTTGGTAATAATGTTTCGTAATTAGGATATAGAAGAAAATGATATTAATGCAATCTAGAATGCATGACTTTTAAGAAAACTTTTAAGAAAACTTTTTACTTTAAATACACCGCTTTGTTGCAAATTTATCATTAAAAATTACCAGTCGAAGAAGACGTTATGATATTGTATTCGGTATGCAGTTCGATATACAGTTTCATAATCATATTTACGTGGTTTTGCTATTCTTAATTCATCTGTGTGTAATTTAGGCTTACGTAAGTCTTTTTTTTTTTTTTTTTATTTTGGACTATACGTATCTCGTGTACACATGTAAATATATATATATAGTTAAGTTACTTAACTGCATAAGAAAACTAATCTAAGTTAAGTCAGATAAATTTTAAGTGCCGATAATTGTTACTTATGATGTAAAAGCATTCTTTATATTAATCGTTTATAACGAAAGCATTTCAATAATATCATGAAATATTTACAATCACTTAATAATTATTTCGATTTCGTTTCATAGATAGTAAATTTTTTTATTAAATTATAATTTTCGCGAATAATTATCTAGAAAAATATATTAATTATAAATAATAAAAGTTAACGGAAACTCTGTATTATGTCACATAAAAAAGTTGAGATTATTACTAATTAAAATAGCTATTTATGCATGTGCTACTTACAATAATGAATTTTTTGCGCAATTTTGAATATATATATATATATATATATATATATATATATCGAAACGTCTAAGATTTAAAAATTACGTTTTAATATTAATTAATTGATAAACAAAACGCTTTACTCATTATGTGCTAGAGTAGCTTCGTTTCTCCAGTATTATCTTATCTTAAGTATAATTAATGATGGCTAATCGTAATAATAAATAGAATAAATATTCTAAATATTTATTCTATTTGGTATTTTGAAAACTTTAATTAAAAATATGTTATGCGTTATCTTGTTCTGTTTGATTTAAAATGTTGTGATCTCAGTTATATAAAAATATTGTAGATCACTCGACTAAGTATTCCACTAAGTAGTCTTAGACTTAACAATTAGATAGATATACGATAGCGTACCCTTAAAAACTCTATAAATATTTATGTTAGAGAATATATTATCTAATTAATGTGAAAGTTAAATAGAACCATGAATTATCGATGAATTTGCACGGTATATGGTGGCGAGAGTAGATATGAAATAAGAAGTATAAGACTGTTTTTGGATCATTTTCTATTTAAACATTATCGTATATCACTCACTATCCATAATTTTCCAAATTCTAGTTTTCCAGTAAATAACAAAGCACATTCCCATTCTCCGTTAATAGTAATCGTCACGTTTAGCATCAATTTTTCACCGAAATACTACAAACGTTATGAAAAAATTCCAATAGCGCGCGATTTAATGTAAAATTGTTGTCAGTTCAAGTCACGCCTCCCCTCAGACATGAATTAAGCAGGTGCACAATAGTAATTGCAGGTTCGACCGAGTTGATCTCTCGCCCAGTGCGGAGCTTCGGCGACTCCTGACATGTCGACGGCGAACGTTGCGGATGGCGAGCATCCGGGCTTGCATCAGGGCAATGGCTCGGCACGCGATCACGTGCCGCTCAACGAACCGGAGAACGGCGACAAAAAGCCCTTTACCCGAAGCTCGCACACACTTTTGGAGAACGGACGGACGATGTCTATGTCGGTCGATAGCTCGACGAAGGCCGCGGAGGCCGATGCTACTAGGCGTTTGAGCGTCGAGCCCCCGGATGGCGGTTTGAGGTTCGTACACATGTTGCCCGCCCCGTAGAGGAGAAATTGGTTTTTGGGACAGTTTCGTTAAGTTTCGTAGCGATGAAACTGGCACGTATTTAAAGCTCTTAAGCTGCAAATTTATTACTTCCCTTTTCTATTTACCTAGCTCTCGCACCCGTTTCCATTCCCGTTTTCATTCCCAATACCCTTTCCCCTTTCCCCTTTACCCCATTGTCACTTTGCCACTTTACCCCTTTCCCATGCTCAATCTCACCATCTTCGTATACATATATGAATATTTGATTAATATATCATGCTCGATTGTAAATAATGTAAAACTATCAATGGAATATTTGAAAGACTATCGAGCAGCATAATCGAACAATATGGACATAGAGTTAATCGTGATTATTATTTTACCTTGTTGTTCTATCAATTTAGAGCATGGTCCATTATGGTTGGGAGTTTTCTGATTAATGGCGTGTTATTCAGCATCATAAACACGTATTCACTTATTTACTTGGAGTTGCAGAAAAGACTGAAGGAGAGTGGTGAGACCGAAGTATCATCTAAAGCCGGTAAGATTTTTCAAGCTTAATTATACTTTATTAAACACATTACGATACTTGTAAAACCGATTCTTTTTATCATCATTTCACTTTCTGATAAATTTTTTCAATTTGCTCAACTAATTGCAGTTTTTCAATTAATTACTAATTCGTAATTAAAATCAGTAAAAAACCTCGTCAAATTAATTCTTGTTATTGAAAATTACATTTAATATAGATATATTTTATCATATATTTACATTATTGATATGCTTGGATTTTAAATTCCCTGAGAATTTTGTAACTATGCCGTAAAGTTGAATTTCTTAAGTGATAGGGCGCCGTTGAGTTTCCTAGGCGTACAATAGCTACATTCTCAAGAAATGCAGAATGAAGATTTTGTAACGAAGCTTATCGAGATGATTGTACATTATTTGAATGAAAGTCAAAAATATAATTTGAATGATATCACAGGCTGCACAAAGAAGCGTAATAATTATTAAATGAAGCCAAGACAAAATCTTATATTTACCAAGAAAATGGAACTAGAATTATATTATGCATTAGAAATATATTGTGTGACAAGGCAATGGATATTAGTGTCCGTCAATAAAGGAAAAATATACGCGCAATTCAACTGTCAAAGTATTTAATTGAGTTTTGCAATTAAAACAGGATTTACGAACAATAAACTGCAATTTAGGACAAGTACCAGTACACAGAGTATTTTAAAATAATTTTCATCTCTCGTCGGACGGCTTAATTAAATGATCATTAAAGAGTTTGGCTCATTAAGCATTCTTCATGGTCTGCTATCTGTCCGAGCATTCCTTTGTTTTTTAAATTGAATTTATAATTGAAGCCATAAAACGTTTCATACGTGGTTTTTTTTTTTTTTTTTTTTCGTCTCTGTCGGTGTTTACTGCTTCATTGCTCATTGGGATTCATCTCTTGTGCAAAAATATTCGTCATTTATATTTTTCACGAAAAAAAAACTCCCTTTACAACCGCCCAACAAAACACATAGTTTAACGAACGATAATGTCATTAACATTTGCAAAAAATTAATAAGATTGTAAACACTCGTCATATGCAAATAAATATTTTTATTATCCATTGATAAGAAAATGCAAAGATTCCCAACATCCATGAACTCCAAAACTTCATGTAATATACGTCAACAATGATTATGCTATGCGCAATATAAAGTGCAAAATATTTCATAAACATAATAATTAAACAATTAAGATACGACGAGCAAATATTTTTCGTACTTGGGCTGTTTTCTTTTATTCGCCTCTGCTGAAATTTCACCACCATTCGCGAACGAGGCCATTTTCTCATAATACACATTGCGCTCGAGGCTCCAGCTAATCGCACTGCCTACTAATTGCCTCTGTTCCATCTCACCTCGAGTCTAAGAGCCGAAGCCTAAGAGGATACCTACCCTCGCGACGCACAGCCTCACGCGTCAAGTAATCGGGGAAAGGAAATAACTGTAAAAGTCAATGGGAGCATATCTAGTCGGCCATAAATATTCAGGGTCGCCCTAATGTCATGCGACGATGATGGCATTATCGAGTGCGCACGAGACGAATGTGAAACTTAAGCGCGCGTATAATGTATAACATTATATTACGAGATTACATTACGAGATGGAATACGGACGTTAAGGAGCGTACGAGTCCATTGGCTCGGAGTTCGGGCATAATAATTCGGACGAAGGGCTATCGCCTGTAATTCAGTGGAGTCTGCGGCATTGAGTCAAAGATAAGCGGCGCGATGACTAGAATATTTGCGCACTGATACAGCCTTCTGAGTATATTATCGAGCGCACGCTGGCATGGCTAATCAAATTTTACGATGGATGAATGATCTTGGCTTAAAGATAGTGGTAGCAATAGCAATGAGTTCATTCCTTATCGATACACTACTTATTATTGTTATAACTCGTCGTTTTCGTCATTTCTGTGCTTTTCTATACTATTTATAAACATTGTTTACGTGAAAATGTAGCCGTAATAAATATTTATCTATTCACAAGATGTTTGAAAACATTATTCATTTTTCGAGGCTTTGGTTATTTTCAGCAGAAACGCTCTTTACAATGCGCGAATATCAAAGCAATTTTACTTTCATTCGCTTGCATGGTTAACGGAAGATGAGACATCATTTTGTTGCAACATTGCAATTTTCGTTGAATCTTTTGAAATATTTATTCACAATTATAATTAGTGATTGCAGCCCAGTGAGTTATTGGATGATTTAATATTAACAATTTCATAAGCTTACATATATCAACGTCTTTGCTTTAAAAAAATCTTTATTTATAATAACATATAAGGGAGCTCACGTGCTATTTTGTATTTTTACGAATGCAGAATCTGTATAATGAATGTTAACAAATTTCTCATGGCTATAAAATTAAAAAAGACCATGAACTGAAAATTACTTAGTATGTAAATTTACACGTCAGTAATAATTATAATAGAAAAATTGACATATCACATATCACAGATGATATTTAATACATTTTTAAATTATGAAAATTTCAAAAAGTAATTGTCATGTTACTTTAATGTAGTCTTTAAACATAATACAATATAGAAACAAAAAATGTCTAAATAAAACAAAATTATGTGTAAATTATGCAAAATTTTAATAGATGCTGTGTCTGACAAATTTGATGGTCATCTACCATAATTGCCGTAAAAACATAAACGTTATATGTTGTAACTATAAACATTATATCGTGTACAACATACACATTATTAAAACTTACATAATTAAAGAAGCAATTTTAAGTATGTAAAAACTTGAGTATTTTCATCAAACGGCAAGTACAATCTTGTTTGTTAAAATTTAGCTAATAAAACAATAAATCCTAAATAATAACATATGTTTATTTCTCTATATGTCAATCACTGTAATGATGGCATATATGAATAAGTGTAATTGAATAATACTGTTTTTAAACACTCCCTCGTTACATGTTTATTCGTGTATTAGCTGACGATTGGTCAATTTAAAATCAATAATGTTTTCAATCAGGGTGACAGAGAAGATAGATATTTAAAAATTTTTACAAACAGGGTGTCTATGTCTAACAGATCAATTATTACTAACTGCATTCGTGACTATGTAATCTTTATGATATATAATTATGTAATTAGTAAGCAGTGCTGCGTATTATCTTGTAGATGTGATCGTAGCCTCGAATACGGAAATAAGCGTCTGGTCACTGAATTAAATTGATTTATTTTTCTCGTTTGCAAATATTGCAAATATTGCAAAAATTTCATCGTTTCTCGTTCAATAAAATAGAACAAATGCACTTTCGTTAATATTTACTTAAGTAAAGTTTTTAATACTTCAATATAAACATTGTAATTTATCTAGTTTTTATATATTTTTATACAATAGTTTCCTAAAATTGAAAGTAAAGCAAGAGAAAAAAAAAATTGAAAATAAAGCATCATAATCAAAATTATATTAGATAATCTGTCAGAAAAATCTACGAATAATTTAAGTTACTATTTTATTTTTTGGAATAACAACAATGATCTGACATATTAATGCTGTTTATTACATTATAGCATGTATAATTGAATATACGTACACGCATATATATATATATATATATATATATATATATATATTTGATATTAAACAATGACATTAGATATTTATGGATGTATTTAAATTTTATTTGTTTAGAGTTAATCGCAATTATAAGTCGCAATTATAATTTTAAGATTTATACGAATTTTATATTTCACATATTAGCGAATATTATAAATAAACAAATAATATTCAGTACTTTTGTAGTAATGAAAAATCAAACATTTTAAAATATTAACATTTTTAACTTAATCTATGGACTTTCATTTTACGGTATGCTTCATATGTATTTTAAATTTAATTAAATTTTATTACAAAGATATTTAGAATTGTGCTTTCTATTTTCTCAATGGTTTATTATCGACAATTAAAAAAAATAAATAGAAAAGTTATCTACAGTGTATTATCAAATTATGACTGAACTACTGAATAATAATAATAACAACATAAGATGGATAAATTATATTCAATTATACTTTACATTGAGTAATAATTTAAATCTGTTTTATTTAAAAAATTTAAAGTAATATCTAATTATTAATAATTAAAACTGTTTTATTTAGCAGAAAACGTTGATTGTTTTTGTATAGATAAATTCAAATATTTAATTAGGCCTTATATGTTAATTAAAAGATTATAGAAGACTTTCTAAGAAATAAGTATTGAAAATTTATTAGCAAAACCACTGAGAATTTACAATTTTTTCCTATACAGTGTATTTGAAAGTACAATTATAAATTTTCATGCTCAATTAATTTTCATATAAGTATGCTATTTGAATATTTATACCCAAGTATTTTATACATAAAGTAAGGAACAGGAGGTACCGTATAAAATCCACGTTAAAACTTTTTCTATTAATAAAATGAAATCATTATAAGGAATTGATTGATGCATGCTTACGATTATTTAAATACATTCTAAAAATTTCTTTTGCAAACTATAAAATTCCACATCAATATAAAAATAAAAGATAATTGATAGTATCCATGAGATCAAAATGATTATAATATATAATTATATACATATGATTAATATTATGGACTTGTAATCCAAGTGTAGTTGATGATACTTCCATATCGCCAACTAAAAAGAAATACATAAAAATGTTTAATATGGACTACATTTCATTGAAAATAGAATAAAATAAAATAAACTACAAGTGAGTTTTTATTATACACATACATACATGCAAGCACAATGATTCGTTGCATATGTATGTTTCGATTAGATTGAAGAAACCTCGTTTTGATAATATAATAAGTACTAAATATAATTAATATTAAAATTAAATTCTTTTTCAAAATTATCGTTCAATTAGGAAAAATTGAATATCCATTTACAATATTCTTATAAAAATATAAATTCTAAATCGGCAATCATAACTAATGAAATTTTATGTATATATATATATATATATATATATATATATATATATATTATCGGTATTATGTGAAATTATTGTATGAAACTAATGTGTTAAAGGAATTTTAATACATAAGGAAAATGTTTTATTTTTAGCGCTTGTGGGTTCGTTAACGATTGGTACTACGTTTTTCTTATCCCCGGTTGCTGGCATCCTGACGGATAAAATTGGTATTCAACTAACAACATTTTTAGGCGGTGCCCTAGCAGTTGGTGGCATGTATTTATCATCTTTACTAGTAAATCAGGTACATATTGCTTTTTATTGCTAATTTAATACTAATTTTTTTCCGCCAATTATTCTTACATAGTTGTATAAGATATTTTAAATCTTTCAATTTTGAAAAAAAACTCATTTGATTGTTTAATTAATAATAATGAATTATATTAGAGGGAAAATATAGAGATATAAATCTATTTCATAATCAATGGAAATCTAGTAAAATTCAAGATTTTAATTATTATTTAATTATTAGCACTGGCGCACCTCTCCGTCTAAAATTGTTTACAAGAAATTTATCAGAACATAAACGTTCGTATAGACTATCATACATTAATGCAATGTAAATCGAAAGTTCTTCATTAATAAAAAAAACAAAAAAAAAAAAAAAAAAAGATTTACAATTGTTTACGTGATACATAAGCACTGTTGACATTAAGCTTTAAATTAATATAAAACATAAGTAATTAAAATAACATTTTTTTTTGTTGCAACTATATTAGTTTAAGAAAAATGTAAGTGACTTTCAATGGCAAACGAATGAATCCTACCCCAATGATAGAATGTTGTTAAGTGAAAGCTATGTAAAAGACAGAAGGCGAATGTAAATACCATAAGCTCTGTGATTAGTATATGGGTAATACGTGCTTGTCGATAGGTGGAGTATTTATGTTTAACGTACGGTGTAATGTACGGACTTGGAGCGAGCCTCGCGTACACTCCGAGTTTAGTGATACTAGGACACTATTTCAAGCGTCATCTGGGCCTGGTGAATGGTATTGTGACGATGGGCAGCTCCGTCTTTACGATACTGCTGCCTTACGCCATGGAGCTTATGCTTGACAAATTTGGCCTTGAGGGCACCTTCAAGAGTCTCGCTGTACTTACCACTATCGTAATGCTTTGCGCCATACTCTTCAAGCCGGTTCCACGTGAGTTCCCTTACGATTTTCCATTTTTCATGACTTTAAACCCCGTATTCGTTCCCTTCTCCCGTTTAGTTGCTTACGTATTTATGGTACATTTTTATAAAACAATATTAAGATCCTTCTTCTCTCCAATTATTACGTCCGTTTAGTCACTATAGATCGAACATACTCGCAATTTAATTTTTTTTTAAGACTCGATTTTCCCTTTTTCAACCCCATCTCGCTTACATATTATAAATCTTTGATTTAGTTTACCCTCCGTATGATGAGCAAATAAAATTGCGCAAAAAAACTTTCTTGAGAATGCTTAAAGAGGCCATAAAAGTATCGATTTGGAAGAAAAAGAAGTATGTAGTTTGGGCTGGAGCAATTCCTATTGCACTTTTTGGGTAAGTTATCGTTTAGTTATTTCAAAGACTAAGTAATAATTGCGAGAAATACAAGATAAAAGTACTTATTAGCAATGTCGATTTAGTTATATTAGTTTAATTTAGTTATACGAATTTATCAATGTACAATGTGAAATTTAACAGCATTTATAAAATCTGAAGAAAATGGTATGTGTTTTTTTTTTTTTTTTTTTTAATATTTATGATAATAATTTACCGTTAGTACATAAGAATCGCAATGTTATGGTATTATAATATTTTCACAATGACTTATAAAAAAAAATAAATTTTAAAACAGTCATCTATTGAATTTCCAGTAAAATTTCGCACGATCGTCTAATTTTTATCTTAACGACATCAAAATTTTCAATGTGTTAACAAATAATTAAAATTAATTTTATTTTTAATTTTATGTATATTTATATAATGTATTTATAAGGGTGAATATTCATTAAATAATAAATCAGTCACCTTTCTATAATTTTACCTTCGTATATAATTTTCCAACACATACGTATCTGTAATTTTTATCGATATAAATAGTATCATGATCTTACTAGAATATCATACGTATTCTTTGTCTTAGTTTTTTCTTCCCGCTAATATTAACGCTTCTTTTCTTCTTTTTTTTTTCCCCCTCACCATTAGATATTTCGTACCTTACGTACATATAGGAAAATTTGTTGAGACATCTTTCCAAGGTGTCGATAAAAAATTGCCTGTAATGTGTATTGGTATTACTTCTGGTATTGGGCGCCTTATATTCGGATATATTGCTGATTTACCGAAAGTAAATAGAATTCTTCTTCAACAGGTAAGCACACAGATAATATACATAATCGTTTTGCAATCTAACGGCTTAAGATTTATTTGAAATTTAACAGTTTGTAAAAATAATTTGTAAGAATTATAAAGGAACAAATTTATACGTTGTAAGATTGTTAATCTGTATTAATGTGACGTCATTATCGCGAGTCAATTATTAATGTTATATTGTAATTAAATTTATTCGATGACTTTTACAAAACGTAATTGCATTTTTATTGCATATTGTCGAAAAATTGATTAGCATACTTAGAATAATGCATAATAATATAAAAATAGATTTGTAAATGAAATATAAAATTTTATAGCCACTTTTACTAATGATGGATAATAATATGTAATTATGTAAAGGATATTCATCCTTTTGTTTTATTATCTGCTAATATTAATAAAGATCTCTATTTATAAGCTTATAATATTGTTAAATAAACTTGTTTGGATAATGTCTTAATTGATTAAGACATGCTAGTACTATTTGCTAATTATGGGATTCTGCCCATTGTAACGATCTTTTAAACATTGTTGATTAATATTGTAGTCCAGAACCTTCATCAATTTATACTATATATCAATTAACTCGTTTGCTCGTAGAATCGATGATTTCTTTTATGATTGCAATGTAATATTTACTCAACATAAATCATTAAAATTTGGTAACTATTATTTATGTTTAGATTTCATTCATAAGTATAGGCATCTTGACAATGTTGCTTTCCTCAACAAAATCGTTTTCGGTACTACTTGTTATTTCACTGTGTATGGGCCTCTTCGACGGATGTTTCATTTCACTTCTTGGGCCTATCGCCTTTGATATTTGCGGTCAAAAAGACGCTGCCCAGGCAATTGGATTTTTACTTGGATTGTGTTCGATACCTTTGACTGCTGGCCCGCCGATTGCTGGTCTCATTTACGATCATATAGGTAATGATTTACGTTGCTTTTCTCTATACTTTAAAACTTATTCGATCACAATTTATGTATTTTCTGTCTCCATTAGCTTCATGCCAACCATTCATAAGCCGGTCATGAATTTAATCGATTATAATGATAACATTTTCATAGCAAATTTACACTTTTTTTTTCTTTTATTTTTTTTTTTTTTCATAATATAAATAACTATATAAACAGATAATACATATAGATAAGCAATAGAATTTTTATTCTATCGGGTAATCGGTAGTGACTTTTAACAATTTTAATTCGTCGACATCGGCTAATCTGAGCACTTCTATTTAAAAATTAACAAAATTACATCGAGTGTTGTTTGGATTTTTTTTTTTTTTTTTTTTTTTTATTTCATTTCATACGCGCGTAAATTACTCGTAACATTTACATACGAGTATATCAATATAATGATTATGTTTCCAATGATCGATGGACGAATACCTTTTTCATGAGATAATTCTATTCAAGGATCGTATCACCTGCCGTTCCTGCTCGCTGGTATACCACCAATAGTCGGTGCCTTGGCGATGTTCTTCGTGTATCGTATAAAGGACGAGCCGGTTGGCAGATGCGATGATGAACTAGGCATGGCCGAAGAATCCTTAACCGATTCCAAGCGACAGAATGGTTAGTAGCAAGCAAGCGAAAACAAAAAATAAAGAAAGAATTTCGTGAAAACGAAAAAGCGAAAAAAGAGAATAAGAGTCTTTTCCAGACGGCAAGTCAAGAGTTTTCATCTCGATTTCACCGTATCAAAGTATATATTAAGAGCATTTATTATGTTTTCATATGCGAATATCTCAGACAAAAAAAAAAAAAAAAAAAAAAAAAAAAAAAAAGAATAAAAATCTGCTAAAATTAGAGGTTTATAAAAACAACACGAGAATAATGAGAAGTCGATGCAAATATTGCAGTTGCATTGTATGTAATGTACATATGCAATGTAATGCTCTTCTCATTCTAGTTTTTCCAACTGTTAAATGGATACTACGTTTGAACATACTTTTCAGATGAAAGATCATAAGTCAATAATTACAGTAATTACAGTACGAAACACAATCATATTTATATTTAGAAGTATATTTAATATGTCAAGTTTTATTATAATTTGATGTTTGAAATTTTAAAAAGTTTAGACTATTATAAGCATTTTTAATGAAATCAATTATACGTAGGATATATTTTTTATCACGTGTACAAATTAAATTATTGCTTTTTTTTCGGGAACCAATTGTACCTGGACAAGTGAATTATCCTCATTGATAAGTGCAATATATGGATTAGGTCTATCGAGTGTTACAATTTACTTCACAATTTCCGAAGTATAATTCAAAATATTTTCATAGAAGAGCAAATCTATATAAAACAATATATGATACATGTAAAGTACAATTAATTAAGTTTTAAGCGTGCACGAAAAAGAGGAAAAATTTTATTCTGTAAGTTTGTTCATAGTTAGTAAGATAGTTTATAAAGCATTTTTCTAAAGTTCTTTATAAAATGGTTCTTTTATGGCCATCTTTCTCTTTTATTACTTTTAAAATTAAAACAATTTTTGTTAATGAAATAAAATGTTTTAATCTATTTATATTTAATAACGTTAGATTATAATTATTTTAGAATTAAGTATTATTTAAGCTCTCGTTTATTCCCTTAACGACCGAATTTTCTATTTTTGGAAAATATTATTAATAATGTTGAAATTAAAAACAATTAATTAAGGGATTGAAAGCATCGTCTGTTTCTTTAGTTTCACGTGATAACATATAGAATAAAGATTATGGACTATTTGTTTTGCGAAACCCAAGCATTACACCATCGGTATTATTGTGAGCTAAAATCAGAAGAAAAAAAAAATTCAATATCACCTATCACCATCAGACATCAGCATTTGTTTTTGTGATAAAAGGAAAATTACAAACATAAGTTCAAGATGTGCAATACAGACCATCATTTTGTAAATTTTGTTGGTATCGATGGTAGATTAATCAATAGCTCAATTCATTCGAAGAATTTTAGTAAAGTAACATTCTAATTTAATCAGTTTCACGTGGGGGGGGGGGATGCAGGGGCGGGGGAGGACCATTGTATTAATATACAAAATTCACAAAAATCATTAATAATCAAAAGTACATGACTCTAAAATTTCATGTACTATCATAACTCAACCATTACCGATGTTACACAATTCAATCATTCATTTTTATAAGAGTCATTTATTGATCTACGATCGATCCAATAGATTGTGCATTAAAGGTAAATATTTCACATTCTTTTGAGAAGTAAAATTATGCACACGCAGAATTCATAGATTCGAAATATATAACATTCTATAATAGCACTTGACATTAAAACAAATTACGTACGCATTGAAAATAGCAGCTTTATGTTAAATGAACAGTGGCCGGAAATTGTCGAGTAATTAAGTTTAGAGTAATTAAATGCATTAACTTCGGTGGAAGCTAGAGCATGCAGTTTTCCGTAGCCAATGTCAATCTGTAATTTTCCTTTCAACGAAACACTCAAGTCCAAATGCATGCACTTTTGCATTACAATGGTGCACGCACGCACGCGCGCGCATATACACAAGCACACGTACACAAAAAGAATAGACCAGGGACAAGGGAGGCAAGCGTGCACACCCGGGTATCATACCATTAATAAGAGAAACATTGATGAAGGCGCGAGATTGGTTAAACATTGGTGGTGCTGCAATATTTCGTTCATAGGGATTTGCTGCGCGCCGGCGGCGCCGAGTAACCTGACTGCAATCGGCGATCGTAGCTCATGCGGGGATTTGCCCTATAGCAATTGTTACGTTCGGAGCGACGAGTGCTCGCCATTGCTGAGAAATTACCGGAGGACGATGGTGGTGCCGGCGAGGACACGTAATTCCGACGAACTGATCTGATCGGACGAGATAAACGAACTATTTGATCACGCATACGTGCCACGTGGACATTGCCGTTGTCGTTTGCCCCTTATGATCGAGTGACTGCACGAGTTGTCCTTACCTTCTCTTGTTGTTTCTCTTTTTTTTCTGTTTTTGTTTTTGTTTGTTTTAACCATTGTCAACGCAATGCGGAGATGCATCAATGGGTGTGCGAATTTTAGTTTTGTTTAAAGTTTGCGAGTTGCGAGACGCGTTTGATAGCTGGTGATCGGATTTGTTGCTAAGGGTGATAATCCTTGCCGTTTACAACGAATGTTTTTGCGAATGCGATTACCATAAGTAACGTGTCGTAATGATAAACCGATTAAAAAAATTATCGATGTTTATTGCCAGTTTAGCCAATTATTCGCACGAATTCAATAAGTTTTCACTCGAGTATTGAATTTGAAAAAGAATTTGATAGTAGGATGGACAGATTCAAATTAATTATCAAAAAAAAAAAAACCATTTGAAATTATAATATACAATCATACTCGATGTTCCTTACATAACTTCACTATTTAGTTTTGTACAAATAGTCTGTAACTCGTTGAAACTTCACTAAAACACTTTTTAAAGAGAAATCTAGAAGATAAAATAGTTGAAACAAATTTTTTACAATATATTCAAGTCAATTAGTCAAACATATTTTTTATAAAAATTTATGTCCTCGTTTCTTACGTTCAAATGCAAATGTTCTATAAAATATGTATGTCATGTAACAAATATTTAAGGTCGAATGATATTTTTTAGTTTGTGAAAATTATGTATTTTTATTTCAACGTAAAATTGTATAATTCATCAATAAATAAATAAATAATATATATATATATATATATATATATATATATACACACACACACACAAACACATGCATATTCATACATATGCACATGCACACGCACGATGCGCGCACACACACACACACACACACACACACAAAATACACACAATACACACGTCGTTTAAGAAGTGATGATTATAGACAATATCGAACTACAGTTAGAATATCAAGATTGTATAATTTGAAAATTATTAATTAAAGATACATGTAAATAGAAATACGATAAAACGTTCCATAGAGCTGTATCACAGATATTTAAGTAAACGTGGCATTATAAGTAAACTATGATTTATTTTCTTCTTAAAATACCCGATATAATGACTTGTACTTGAATTTTTCCACGATGTATGGAAGTATTTTATTATTATTATTATTGTTGTTGCTATTGTTATCATTGTTATTATTATAGTTCAATATATATATATATAGAAGATGGAATTGTGCAGGCAAACGAGACCGAAATGATTGTTTATTTTGTTGGCGATGAGTAGTTTAATTGAAAAGTATCTCGTACTTTCTCTGGGCGCCCAATTTTTTTGTACACATTCGACACTGACCACTACATGTAGTATGATAGCTAGTATAGGGTTTATCGAGGGCTCGTAAATTTCATAAATTCTGGTTTAAGCAGGCACATTCGCAATACCAGAATCAAAATATCGAATCAAAGGTATGGATAAAGAAGGAGAGAGATGCGAGCAGCAATCGGACAATAAAATCCATTGACTTTGAACGTTCGAAAAACCATTGCAAACGTGAGATCGTCGTCGTGAGTTCGGACTTCCTCGACGATCGAAAAGTCGAAGCACATTCGAATGTTCGCGGGTGGCATCGTCGGCGCGCCACCTGTGCGCGCGCGAGCGTCGCGCCGCCCTAGTGGTAAGGTTGCAGCGTCGGCGCCCCTCTCCATGGTGGCGAGAGGCCGTCGGGCGCCACGGAGTGGAGCGTCAGCAGGGGGTGGGAGTGCGGGCGCAGGGCCGCCGACGTTATCTCGACGGACTGGATGAGCTGGATGCTCAGACGGGCCGGGGCTCGGCCGAGTGTTCGGACGGTCGTCGGTCAGTCCTCCCGGACGCTGGATTATGTAGTGCGGCTCCGGCGGACCCCTCGACCAGTCTTCTTCCTAAATCTCAGCCGCTCTTTTTTCCGCGGGGAAGAAAGGGGCGCGCGAGCCGAGACGAAACGAGCTTCTCACCGAGGTGAATACGTAGCATTGCTTTGTTTTCTTATTTATTGCTGGCTTTTGTGGGCGACTCTCGATCGCCGTGCATGTACGAAGTTTCTGTGTATGTGCGTTGGTGCAGGAGCAGGAGGAAGTGTCCTTTGATTCGTACCGGACAGTTGGTGCGTTCGATACGGCTGCGGCGCTATTGTAATCTCGCCGTGTTCATCGCGTCTCTCGTTCGTTTCGCACTCTCTCGGGAAGAGAGTCCTCGCCGCCCACGCCCCTGCCCTCCGACTCCTTCTTCAACCCCCCTCCCCAAGCCACCCACGAAACGCGACCAGATACTCCGCCGCGAGGGCGGCCCGTGCTATATGCTCCAGCTAATGGATCGTTCGGGATGGGAGGATCATTCTATCGGACATTATTCGTCGCCTCGTCTCAATCGTCGACCTTTCGATTCGATCGGTCGGCCGGCCAAGCGATTTTATTGGCAAAATCCGCTCTTTCGGGGCCTACATTGCACGCGATTTTACTTTCGCGCGTCTTATTATATTCCGGCCAATTGTTGTTATCTTAGCCCACTGTTAATTAGAATAGATATTTTGTATAATGAGGCTTGTGCGATTGCTTTCTAAATCACTTATTCTCCCTGTCATTGAGCCAACGTACAATTAGCGTATGTAAAATTAAATTATCGCCAATACGGAAGCTTTGCCAGCCTCTCTCACCGGCTTCTTGTTTATGCGTAATCTATAAATAATCTGTCATATTTATTCATTTTAATGCATAAAATGCCCGCGTCGATTGCATACGCTTAGCTTAAGATATGAGACGCGCTGCTATAGCTACACGTGCTAACTTCCATTTATGTACTTTTAAGTACGCAGAATTGTGTATGGCGGGGCACTAAAATAACAATGAACAATGAATGAACATCCATCAAGCCATGCTTCGTGCGAGATTATTGCTATACGCGTGAATTAGAAATAGCTTTCTTTCTTTCTTTTTTAGTTTTAACAATATGTACCACCTAACGGTACAAATTTCTTGGACTTCGCGTACCCAATAGCAAACAACCAAACAATATTGTTTCAATTCCAACGCCTTGTGTATGGGTACAATATTTAAATTAAATATATTAATTTGAAATTTTTTAACTGTATTTTGCAAAAATATTACAATTACGATTATACTTTTTTTTTGTTTTTTGTTTTTTTGTTTTTCTTTACAGTATTCGATTATCATTTTTGATTTCCATTTTGTTTTTAACCTCATTTATAATTAACAAATTTCTTCTTTTATAATTATCCGTAAATGTTATTTTTGTTTACGTTATTTACGTTAGTTTCGCAAATACCTCATTGAATATGAGCATTTACGATCAAATGTACACAAGTTATTCGTCTTCACTCGTCTTCTGTAAATTGTCAAACGATTTTTGTGAATGATATTTTTACGAACATTATCGTTCATTACAAGTTTATTATTTATAAATATATAAATTTAAAATAATTTTTTCTTTCCACTATTTATTACTCATATCTGTTGGTTATATAAGATAAAATAACTATTGTAGTGATGTACGAGTATTGGATAATTTTATACGAAGATTTAATAAATTTGCTAGCTAATGTATAATGAATCTTATTATTTATTGATCAATTTTACGTTTTGAATAGTATATAATAATAATGATGATGATGATGATGATGATGATGATGATGATGATGATGATGATGATAATGATAATACTAATAATAATAATAATAATAATAATAATAATAATAATAATAATAATAATAATAATTACAGTGATAGTAGTGGTAATTATAGTAATAGTAGTAATAATAATAAATATGAATATAAGTAAAATTATATTATGTTAATGAGTTTTTATTATCGTATGTAGTAAATGTATGTCAAAACTTTTGTCGTAATTGTAGTCGCGAATATCTTTGTAAGAGATAATTCAAGACTACATCTCATTCATGAATCATCCTAAATGGTGATTTGATAAATAAATAAATAATATAAAACAAATATGCATATGTGAAGGAAGAAAAATCTACGAAATATTTTTATTCTCTTAGACTGTTTTGCTTTATTATATAATTTCGTTCCATGTATAATTGCACTCGTAATGTAATTAGATTATAATTAGAAGAATTTCCTTATAAATATATTCTAAAGATCTTAATTACATTAATGTATTTAACGAAGTAAGGACAAAAATTTAATCCGAGATGTTTTCTTAAAATGTTTACATAAAACCTTATCCACACGTACAATTAAATTATTAATTCAATTAACAATTAACAATTTAATGTTGAAAATCATTAGCAATATAAATGCAAAAAGTCAATGTAATGTATCTTCTTCTACTTCAATTATTAAATTCTATTATATTACAATATCGCGATTAGGCTAGATTGTATAATATGATTGTACTTTTAACTATTGTATCCATATTGAATTTTCGGTGAAATAAGTTATGCCAAAAGCTCAGAAGAACTACATGAAAAAAACATTTTCTGTTAAAATTAAGTTACATATTCAATTTAATGCCCCCCTCCCCGTCCCTGCCCCTAGTAGTCGTACTGCGAACTTTTGCGGATCTTCGTGGTTAAACAATTGGAAATGTAAATAGACAATTTTTGACTTTGGTATTTGCATGCTTGCATTGGTCGAACGGCCATTCTGATTGAATCAAACGCGTCATTCAATGAGCCTTTTACTGCATAAGTAAAGCTGTATTGAATAATTACAAATTAGTGTCACGTGTACCATAACTATAAGGACGTGCATTTGTGAACATTGAACTTCTTAATATATGATTGAAGTGTCGAGAATAACATTTTTAGCAATCATATTTACAACCAGTCATTGCCATTTCTTTGCATGATCTAAAGCAATGAAATTATAATTATAATACTTTGTTGGGTAATTTTAAATTATAATGATACAATGTAGAATCTTTTATTTGGTATTTATCTAATTGGCGTTTCTATTTATATAAAGAAATATATTCTATTATGCATATTGAAAATTATATGTTATTATATTTAAAAAACAAAGGAACGATAAAAAACAGATATTGTAAATAAAAATTGTTTATTACAGTGATTACGGTAAGTTTGAAATTTGAGTAAAATAAAAGCTTTTATATTTAATAGGCAAACTAACGTTTGAAAATATTATATATTCTGGAAATCCCTTAAAAAATTTTCTTTATCAATATTATTAGTTGTTTGACTTATAATATATAATTATAAATTGTCTTTTCATGACAAAAGATGTTCTATATTAATTTGAATTTTTAAAGGAAGTATATGCTGAAATTATTGCTACAAGACTTTTTTATCGTTAAGAAAACTCTTATTTTAGTTTTTAATTATAATTTATGAACAAAACCAATTAATTTATAACCATATTATTTTCTTGAATAAATATAATTTAAAAAAAGTAAAGTTATATTCCTATAAATAAAGACATGAGTTTTTATATTTTTGGAATATTAATTAAATACCAATAATAATGG